ATGCTGGCCCTGCTGCCCGTGTCCCTGCTGGCCGCGCTGGTCCCCGCGGTGGCCCCCGGGGGGGCTCTGTCCTTCCTGGCGCTGGGGGACTGGGGGGGGCTGCCCGAGCCCCCCTTTGTCACCCCCCGGCAGGTGGCCGTGGCGGGGGCCATGGGCCGCGCTGTCACCGAGCTGGGCGGGGACTTCGTGCTGGCCCTTGGGGACAACTTCTACTACGAGGGCGTGCGCGACGAGTGGGACCCGCGCTTCCAGGTGAGCCCTGGGGACACGTGGGGACACGGCCTGCTGTCCCCAGGGTCCCCAGGGGGTCCCCATGCTGTCCCCAGGGTCCCCATTGTCCCCATTGTCCCCTGGTGTCCTCATTGTCCCCATTGTTCCCACGGTGTCCCCATGCTGTCCCCATTGTCCCCGGTGTCCCCCCTTGGTGTCCCCAGTGTCCACACAGTGTCCCTGTGGTGTCCCCATTGTCCCCATGCTGTCCCCATTGTCCCCTGTGTCCCCATTGGCCCCTGTGTCCCCCTGGTGTTTCCTGGTGTCCCCAGTGTGTCCCCATTGTCCCCACGGTGTCCCCATTGTCCCTATCGTCCCCGTGGTGTCCCGTGTCCCCACAGTGTCCCCATGGTGTCCCCATTGTCCCCGCAGTGTCCCCCTGGTGTCCCCATTGTCCCCATGGTGTCCCCATGGTGTCCCCACTGTCCCCCCTGTCCCCAGGACACCTTCAAGCATGTGTTCGTGTCCCCATACTCCACACCAGCCCCCAGGTGAGGGGTGGGCAGGTGAGGGGTGGGCACGGGCACAGCCTGCAGGTGAGATGGGGACAGGTGAGGGGTGGGCACAGCCCCCAGGTGAGGGGATGGGCAAGTGAGACACGGGCACCGGGGCTGCAGGGAGCCCAAAGGTGTGTGGGGACCCCCAGACGTGCCCGGGGACCCCCAGAGGTGCCCGGGGACCCCTCGATCCCTCCGGGGTAGCCCCGGGGGGGTCCCTCAGGTGCGTCCCCCCCCTGACCCCCCCTTCCCCCCGCAGTACCTGGAGGAGGGGGGGGTGGGCTACATCCTGAGCGGCGCCGGCAACTTCATGGAGGACTCGCGGCCGCACGAGGGCTCGGTGCCCCCCGGGGCGCTGCGCTTCTTCTTCGGGAGCCCCGCCAGCCCCGGCGGCTTCGCCCACGTGCGCCTGGAGCCCCGCGCCGCCACCGTCACCTTCCTGGAGGCCACCGGGCGCGTCCTGCACCGCGTGACGCTGCCACCGCGCCAGCTCTGAGGGCACGGGGACGGGGGGACACGGGGACCCCTTCCCTGGGGACACTGGGACAGCAGGACACAGGGACACTGGGGACAGGGGGACACTGGGGACACTGAGACCCCTTCCCTGGGGACACTGGGGACAGGGGCACAGAGGGACAGGGGGGACAGCGGGACCCCTTTCCTGGGGACAGCAGGACACGGGGGACAGGGGGACACTGGGGACACTGGGACCCCTTCCCTGGGGACAGTGGGACACAGGGACAACGGGACAGGGGAGACAGCAGGACCCCTTCCCTGGGGACAGCAGGACACGGGGACATTGGGGACACAGGGACAGCAGGACCCCTCCCCTGGGGACACCCCGAGATCGCTGAGTCCCCTCAGGGGACACTGGGGACACCGGCACCACGGGCTTTGGGGACACCCCGCCATCTCTGAGCCCTTGGGGACACCGGGGAGCGGACACTGACCCGGGGGACATTGGGGACGCTGACCCCTGACCCGGGGGACATTGGGGACACTGACCCCTGACCCGGGGGACATTGGGGACGCTGACCCCTGGGGCCGCTGACCCGTGCCCCGGGCCGCCCCCGTGCCCCTCCCGCAATAAAGGCTCTGCCCGGCGCTGCCGGACCCGAATCCGCCGAGATTCGCCCCAAAAACCGCGCGGGGGGCGGGGCCTGGAGGCGCTGGCCACGCCTCCTTCGCTGCTGATTGGTTGCCCCGCGCGTCTATCTGGTGGGCGGGGCAGCCCGAGTTGCGCGCTGCTGATTGGCTGGAGGGCTGGGCCCGTCGAATAATGAGCGTGGCGCTCGCGTGTCACGTGGGGCGGAGCGCGGTTTTCCCGCCGCTGATTGGCTGAGGGCGGAGGGGCGGCACTTCCGGGAGCGCGGCGTGAGGGAGCGGGGGAACCGGGAGGGACCGGGGGGAACCGGGAGGGTCCCGGAGGGTCCCGGAGGGTCCCGGGGGGGTCCAGCCGCCCCCGGCTCGTCCCACAGCGGGCTCGGGGCCGCTCCGAGGCGGCTCCCGCGACCGATCCCGCTGTAGTTCCCGTTGCGGAGGCCGTTACCGGTTCCGCGCTCCGGTGCGGCCGCCATGGGCCGCCGCAAGTCGAAGCGGAAGCCGCCGCCCAAGAAGAAGATGACGGGGACGCTGGAGACGCAGTTCACGTGTCCCTTCTGCAACCACGAGAAGTCCTGCGACGTCAAGATGTGAGCGGGGGGCACCGGGGGGACACCGGGCACCGGGGGGACACCGGGGGTGCGGCCGCCATGGGCCGCCGCAAGTCGAAGCGGAAGCCGCCGCCCAAGAAGAAGATGACGGGGACGCTGGAGACGCAGTTCACGTGTCCCTTCTGCAACCACGAGAAGTCCTGCGACGTCAAGATGTGAGCGGGGGGCACCGGGGGGACACCGGGCACCGGGGGGACACCGGGGACACCGGGAACCGCGCACGGGGGCGGCGGCGGCGCGGAAAGAGCGAGGAGGAACCCGGGGGGGGGAAGCGGAGGGCGGGGACACGAGGCGGCGGTGCCGGTACCGGGGAGGGGGGGTCCCGGTCCCGGTG